GGGCAGCCTAGGCCGTACGATGGGCTATAGGACCTGCACCCAGAAGACCGTTTAGTGCGGAGAACCAAATTCAAAACCGACGAAATTTTAGCTCTAGAGACCAAAATTTATCCGTGGCGAAGAAATAATTTAATCTAGATGACTTAATTTGATTAGTGCGACCATATTTAGTTCAAAATGGGGTTACTAAATTTTAGTCGGTTTCAGGAACTAAATTTTGTTTCTTACAACCCTGATTTAGTTGTATCAACTAAATGGTTCTCAGGGTGTGCCACGGGTAAGCCTACAGGGCACAGGGCAGGCCCCAGGGGGGCAGGCCCCAGGGAAGGCCCCAGGGAAGGCCACAGGGCAGGCCACAGGGGGGCAGGCGCCACAGGGGGGCAGGCCACAGGGAAGGCCCCAGGGAAGGCCACAGGGCAGGCCACAGGGGGGCCACAGGGTGGGCCACAGGGTGGGCCACAGGGTGGGCCACAGGGCGGGCCACAGGGCGGGCCACAGGGCGGGCCACAGGGCGGGCCACAGGGTGGGCCACAGGGTGGGCCACAGGGTGGGCCACAGGGGGGGCCAGTAAGGTGTACATTACACCTTATGCCACATTGGGCAGCAGGCTACAGGAAAAGCCACGGGCTGGGCCACGGGGCAAAGCTTAGGGCAGGCCTCAAACCTGGCGAGCGTGCAACCTGAATCGACATTGCGCGGGTGAGACGGCCGCCCGCCCAGTCGAGCTGCTCCGCGCTCTACATTTTCTTTTCCTATTACATTTTACTCCGGAACTTGGGCAGAGCAGGGGGTGAAAAAAAAACTGGGGCGGAATGGGTCTTCCTCTCGTCCCGAGATGGCACTGCAGACAAAAGATGGGACAGACGGACTCCACCGGAGTAAATAAATGGAGTTATATTTATCGCTCGGCCAAATCATCCAATAATACTCTCCCCTCCCTAATTTTTACTTTTATCAACGTGGATAAGGCTGGGCGGGGCATCTCACGACGACGCCGTCTTTGTTTTCTCTCTTCCCCCCAGGAGCTCCGATTCCTTAAGAACTTCTCCTCGCTCAAGGCGATCATCTCTGGCCTGCAGTCCAACCCCGTCTACCGGCTGCAGAGGACGTGGCAGTCCATCCACAAGGAGAAGGTACGAACCGATTTCTGCGTAGCACGACTCGGATGACGTCATTTCTTTAGTTTGGCAGCAGTTTCAACACCTAAACTGTGTAACCTGTGCATTCTCTGTACCCCATACCCCATACACCCTATGTACCCTACGTTACCCGTCACATCTATTCACCCATGTACCATGCATGTACCCCAACGCTACCTTTGTAACCTGTGTAACCTGTTTGAAGCGTGCGACATATGTAACCTATGTAACCTAACTAATCAAACCTTTCTGCCCTGGCAGGTTGCCGTCTACGAGGAGCTGGCGCGCATCTTTAGCGAGGAGAACAACCAGTGGGCGCAGCGGGAGCTGCTGATGCGCGAGGGCACCGCCAAGTTCGCCGACACCGTCGGCGAGCACGACAAGCAGCTGCAGAAGGTCTTCCAGAAGCAGCAGACCAACAGCGGGGTAAGTTCCACGCTCTGCGGAAAAAAAAAACATATTGTGCTGTGACGTTCAATAAAGGAAGACAACAACACAAATAGCAAAATATGATTTGGGTTCGCATAATCACATCCAATAAAAATTAGCTGAATTTGAAAGAAGTGTAATTTTCAAAAACAAAACTGCAAAATTTTAAAAAGTATGCAAAACAGAAACACACTAAATCAGAAACATACACCCAAAAACCACACACTTACAACTCCCGAATTCAAAATGGAATTGTTTTTCTGTTGCAGAACATCAGTCACGGCACGATCCCCTACCTGGGGACGTTCCTCACCGACCTGACCATGATCGACACGGCCATCCCGGACCTGGTGGGCGAGGGCATGATCAACTTCGACAAGCGGCGCAAAGAGTTCGAGGTGCTGGCGCAGATCAAGCTGCTGCAGGGCGCGGCCAACGCCTACAACATCCCGCACGACCCGACGTTCGACCTCTGGTTCGACTCGGTGCTCGTGCTCGACGACCGCGAGGCGTACAACCTCTCGTGCCAGATCGAGCCCGCACCCGCGCCCGCCCCCAGCAACGGCCCCGCCGCGCAGAGCCTCTCCGCCGCTAGGGATCAGAAGAACAAGAGGAATACTGGGTGCGCATGATACAGACGTCATTATTTTATTTTTTTTGTTTTGGCGCGCGATTCAAATCAAACTGACCATCCAGAAAACGGTTACTTTAACTCTGGGAAATTTAAGTATAAAGAAATATTTACTTCATTTCAAAGAAATTTTCGTTTGCTGCTCGAGAATGGGAAAAAATCTTATCTTTTTAAGAAAAAGCTTCTTTTAACTTCACATACTTAAAGCAACGCATTTAAATTAATCGTGCCTTTTTTTGTGCTCGTCACCATAGGCCCGGACATCGCAAAAACGCCTCGATCGCTAGTACGTCGAGCAGCTCGAGCAGCCAGTTCTACTGCGACTTGGACAGCAGCATGCCCTCTTCCCCGCACAACTCGCTGGACAGGAAGGTGAGTCCCCCAGCAGTGCCGGGCCGGGGTTGCCGCTGCACAGGCCCTCGACGACGCTGACGCTGACCACCTGCATCTTGTCCTCCGACAGGCGTCACCCTCGCAGATGTCGTCCTCGTCGAGCAACTCGTCGCTGCCCTCGCTGGACGTGTCGGTGGGCAGCAGCAGCAACCACAGCACGCCGGCGCGGCCGCCGCACCACCCGCACCACCCGCCGCACCTCAACGCGCAGCTCAACCTGTCGGCGCCCCTGGACACGCCGCTCGACTTCTACATCATCCGCGTCACCGTCGAGCCCGACGGCCCCGAGACTGAAGGTAAAGTGTACAGTTAGTTGGAATTTTCCAAAATTTTCCGGAAAATTTCCGAAAAATTTACGAAAATTTCCGGAGGATAACTGAAAACTGGTCATGGAAATTTTCGTTTTTCCTTGAAATTTTCTTGAATTTTTCTAATAAAGTGTCCAAAACAAACAACTTCAAAAGAAAACTTTGATTATTTTACTTTTTACTAGACGCAAATAACGTGATTGTTTTTCGTTTGTTTTTTAGGTGTCATTATGTACAAAAGTATAATGCTCAGCAACAACGAGAGGACGCCACAAGTGATCAGGAACGCTATGCTGAAGTTGGGTATCGAAGGCAACCCAGATCACTATACACTTTCCCAAATATTACCAGATAAAGGTGAGTAGTCGTCTTCTAGAAAAAATTAAAAAATTGCATTGGCAGTTTGGGGTGACATATTAACTGTAATGTCTTTTCATTGACAGAGATGCTTCTTCCTGCAAACGCCAACGTCTACTACGCAGTAAATACGCAGTTCAACCTTAATTTTATTCTTAGAAACAAAAAGGTACTGAAGGAGCCAGTTCCTGTGCCACCATGTAGAACGAAATCGTCAAAGAAATTACTCTTAGGAACATAATTTTTCCCCAACTGTGACGTAATAGAGTGAATGAATATGGAATTCCAGTAAAGTTGAAGTATTAGCGTAATAAGATTAATTTTAAAAAATCAAACAGTTAATGTTAGTTGGGCCGCTTTAATTGTACTTTCTAAATGGTGAGAATCACTTTCTTTTTTGGAATGACTCATGCTTTGGGTTAACTTTTCATTTATTACCCACCGCATAACCCCCACCCCTTCCCCCAATTTTGTTTTAAATTACTGGCAAAACTTTCTAAAGATTCTATCTGGTTTATTCCATTGATAATTGATCAATTCTTATTTTAATGAAATGTAATGTAAAAGTTCCAGCTGAAAATTTCCAGCTGCCAACTCTGTGCCAAGATTTTTACACTAGTTAAGTGATTGTCAGACACCAAGGATGTGTAAAAGTGGAAAGATCTAATAACTTTTTCGATGTTATATTATGTTACCATTACTTATGTACCTTCAATTTAAACTTAAGTTAAGCACAGAAACGTCTTGCTTAAAGAGGCAAAGTAAACATCAGTGGCGTCTGTCAATTAAATGACGTGTCACTTCAGATAGGATGCTTTATTATTGATGCTCATAAATTATGAAATGGAAATATGGTTTTGTCCACAAAAGCAAAGGCATGTACAGTATTACAGGCTAAGTAGCACCATGTTATTATTTTACGATTTTGTTAGTAGACATCCAAACAGTCTATGTTGTCTGGCACATCCCAAAGAACTCTTGTTTATTTTTCTATACTTTCTCAGGGCTGTTAACTGAGAGTAACCTAGTCACATTTAACAACCTCCTATAGTGCTAGTTGCTATTATTCTATTATTAGCCTTTTATTATTTGTACAATGAATTGATTCAATTTATATAGCAACTTGCTTATCATGAGTGGGCTATTATACTTATATTATAACTAAAAATAGAATTGTCTTTGACTGATATTGAATGTATATACCACAATGATAAGATTCCTTGTGATAATGATTTCTGTTCTCTTAAATCAGTTTCATAACTCTGAACAACTGCAAAGGCACTAATTCTACACCTATGATTAAGTCTGTGTATAAAGCTATGCCTAAGTCCGCACTTCAATCAGAACACACATGTTTATGTTTTTGTTTTGTTGTTTTTTTTTATATTTTTCAACTTGTTAAGATTATTCTAGATATTTAAATCAATATGATAGAGTGACTGCTCTGTGAATATGTAAATAGCATGATCAACTATTTATTTAATATTAATACCCTCTTTATCATGAAAGAATCTGTGTAAAATTGTCCAATGTTCTTTTTTTTTGTTAAATAAACACTAAATGAAAGAAAGCCCTCCTGGTCGGTGTATTTGCTGCCTAGAGCCCCTGGGCGCGCGGGGTATCCCCTGGTCGCGCGGCGCCGCCCGTGGCGCCCCCTGCCAGCCGGCCTGGACGGTGGGCCGGAGGGCGCGTTGGGTCGCCGGCTGCAGTTGCAGTTCCTCCAGCACCTCCGCGCGCTCAAACTTTGCCTTATATATTTTTATTATTACAACCACCACAACCACCACAACAACCGCCATGTCTCCAGACGCTGCCCGTGGTGGGTATAGGTGGCTGCCGGTGGCCCCGGTGGTGGCCGCCGCAGCGGCGGTGGCGCTGGTGGGCCTGGGGGGCGCCGGGGTGGTGAGCGCTCCAGCAGCGCAGGCTGTTGCTGTCGCCCGTCCCTGACCGCCGCTCAGTCCGGGGCCGGAGTTTGCGTCGCGCGCAGCCGATCGCAGCCCGCAGCCGTCACGCGGCCCCCGGGACTTCCCTGCCCGTCGCGCCGCCCGGAGCCGACGACGCCGGGGCGCGTGCGGCGCCTTGTCGTGGGTGGCGGGGGAGGCGCCGCACTCCATGACGGCGGCCAGGACCGCGACGCACCGGGCGACCGGGAGCATGCCCTCGTCGCCCGACGGGGGAACCGACGTGAGCCCGCAGCCGCAGCTCGTCGTGCGCTTCTTGCCCCAGGTGAGTGACGAGTCAATGAGTGACGATGGTTGAAAGAGTGACGAGTGACGCGTGACGATGAGTGACAAAGAAGTGACAACGGGTGACAAAGTTACGACGAGCGATATGTGACGACGAGTGACAAAGTGACGACGAGTGACAAAGTGACGAAGAGTGTTAAAGTGACAAAGTGACGAAGAGTGTTAAAGTGACAAAGTGACGAAGAGTGTTAAAGTGACGACGAGTGACGAAGAGTGACAAAGTGACGACGAGTGACAAAGTGGCGACGAGTGACAAAGTGATGATGAGAGACGAGTGACGGTGAAAGCGTTAGACTGACAGGAGGTGACAGTGAGTGCGAGAGTGATAATAGACAGATGACGGTGTGAATGTGAGAGCAGGGGGGGGGGGGCAGTGGTTGGAGTGACCACCGTAAAAGTAAGGGTAACGGTCACGTTGCGAGAAGTGTGATTGTGAGGGAGGGGGGTTGGGGAGGGGGAGGTCCGAGGACCGTGCCGGCCCGCCCAGTGCGTCATGGCTGCTGGAATGGCACGAGGGTAATGGAATAGACCTGTCGAACGATAACACACTGCGCAGGACCCATCCGAGGGGGTTTGTCATTGTTGTCGTTGTTAATGCCGTTGTTGTTGTTGCTGCTGTTGTTGTTTTGCAACGGGCGGTACCCAAAACAACGGCAGATGTAGGCGCGTACCCCCAGGTGCGCTGTACACCGCGCCCGTATCGCTTTTGTCGCCGCGGGGAGACGGACTCTTGGAGTGGGGCGCAAGGACATCTTTTATATTCTCCTCCTCCATCTCTTCTTTCCGCCGCGCGCTCATCTCGGAGAACGACAGCAATGAGACAAATCGCCACCCGACCGCGCGAGGGAGTCCGGCGGCGGTGGCGGCTAGGCTGCGCAGCGGAGCGTCGTCGACAGGCTATGCGGGAGCTGGCTGAGCTTCCCTCCATAGCCCGGCGTGAAAGTAATGCAGAGACGTGCCTGCTCGAGTGCGCCGTACCACGGGCCTCTCTCTGTCTCTCTCTCTCTCTCTCTGTCTCTCTCCCTGTCTTTGTCTCTCTATGTCTCTGTCTGTCTGTCTGTCTGTCTGTCTGTCTGTCTCTCTCTCTCTGTCTCTCGTTCTCCCGCGAGTACCGCGGTGGTCGAGCGTGCAGCCCCTATCACCCCTCTCCCCTCCCCTTCCACACAAACTCGATTATTGTCTCCAAGGAATGGGCTGCTGCCTGGCCGCCGCGGCCGGGGTGTAGAGTTCCAGAGGGCGGAAGCGGGAAGGGGGGGTCGGACGTGCCCCCCCCTGGACCAGGTCGTTAAGGGCCCTCAGCAGGTGCTCGAGGACCAGCAGAGCCCCACAGGGCCGCCGCTCGGCTCGTGGCCTACCCTCCCCACCACTCCCCCTCCCTCATCTCTGCCACTGAGCCCTGTCCATCATCCCCTCATCATCAAGGCCCCTTGTCGTTCCACTGCTGGTCAGCGCGAGCTCCCCCCC